TTTTTTTTTGGTTTACGGAAGCTCTCACTTTATCATTTATTTTTAAATCTGTTTACTCATCTTCATGAAAGTTTTGAACCGTAACTACACTTGAAGTTTCACCCGATCGGCCGAGTTCCAAAATTCATGCTAACGCCCGCTGGAGAGCTACAATTCGACACCATTTCGTCAAGAAAAAATGATGGAACAAAACAAATAAAGAGATTGGAGTTAACAAGTATTAGGTTTTCAAAATTCACCAGCTCATGTAATGGAACTTTGAAGAGTGACGTCACAATTTTCGTTAAAATTTTTTTTTCGAATCCTCAGAATAGCTTTGGTTTCCTTGTAACCTCGTTCGGCAGTTCTGTTAATGTCTTGTAATTTACTTTGTCTACCCCTTGTTACATTTGAAGCCAAAGTAACTCGATCCGTATTGTCCTCTCTAATTAAAGTGGCTCACCAAATTTCTAATCCATTTCAATTGTAGCTACATGTAAAGAGTACGTGGCAAAAGACAACCAGACTTAGATGTTTCCTGAGATATTTCCTCACGATGGACAGAAAGTATCCGTGTTGTTAATCAACCTATCCTTCTAGAATTTGTATGATCCTGTGGGTCTAATTACGCACTACACCCCTCGCTTGTCTCTGGCTGTAACTTTGCCGCCTGTGATAGGATACCATTTGGTTGGGTGCGACAAGTTCAATGTCTCATATGCGTTCTTGATCATAAGCAGGCTTTTTTTATTTCATTTGTTGTTACAAACTAGACCAGTCATACTGAACTAAATTTATGCTGCACCGAGCTAAACTTATAAAGACAATCGACCATTCAGAAGCGTTAAACTAAATTTAACCAAGAACACATTTAATTTAACTTAGATACGATACATCTTTTTCACGAAATTTCAGGGGCAGATATATTAAGTGAAGCTACCTCCAGTTATAAAGGAGTGGATTTGAAAGCTTCTTCGTCAGTTGCAGGTAAGTAAGCCTGACTTGGATTACAATAAAACATCTTCGTGTAGGAAAGTATCTTTTATATAAGGATTTTATATAATTATGTCATGTCACATGACCCAGACGCTTATGAAAAGAGTAAACAGAATCTAATGATGATGAAAACACGATTAGAACAGAAATATGATGTTGCAGAGATATAAACGACGAGGACGATCATTCATACCCTTTTCTTTTAATTTTTAGACTCGGAGAAGACTCAAGTTTTACCGGCATCTGGAAAACTGGCCATGGAGGATTTTGAGATCGGAAGTTCCACGGGTACAGAGTTCAACTGTCAACAGTATAGAAGTATTAAAATAAAAAATCTGGTTTATAAATCAAATTTCAGTTAACAATGAATTAACAGGCAGCCACATATGATACAATAATGAAATGCTTGAGAACAATAATCAGCAACAATACTGAGATAACGTGTGAAAAAAGGTGCAGTTATTTTTCTTGATGTATGCAGAGTAGGTGATTACTTTCTAGAAATTCATTATCCTTCATCGTTTAAGGGAACTTTCGTAAGAACAGCGCAATATGTTTGATTCTTAATTTATTTTAGATGCTTTGAAAGGGAAAGACTCAGCAAACCAAGGAAAGGTGGATTTGGATGATGAGCTTTCATCAGGTGAGAGAAATGAAACAGCAAATGAATTGCACTTCTCAAGTCTGTGACTACAAAAAGACCTAAAGAAAATAAATTAAACTCAAACAACTAGTACTGATTCATTACGGTTCAAAGTTTTCTTTGCTTAAAGTAAAGTCAGTTCTTCTTTACCATTTCAAGGTCAAATTGGATTAAAGGAGTCAGATGACGATGACTGCAAATCGACAGGTACAAGTAAGTAGTATAAACTCAGAGTATGTGTGAGCCTAAGCGTCAATTAACCCTGGGAAAGCAAGTGAGCTTCGAAAGATTTGACACGGACTGAATAACTTTTTGTGGGTCAATATTTAAGATAGAAATAAAGAAGAAATTAATTTGTAACCTTTATCTGCTCAATAACTATGCTATGTAATTTTTTTTCGATTTTTCCAACTGATTTCGATCTTAGCTATTTTTACATCAAGGGGAAAAACCTTGAATATTTTATGAGATAAAGAAGACAAAAGTGGTGAGTTTCCCACGAGTTATAGAGTGTCATTATTATTTCTATGTATTGGTATTTTAGTTGCTCACCAGGCCTTCCCTGTCGCAGCTGAAGGAAGCCTGGACTTTGCTGACAACAGTTCACCAGGCAAGAAAAAGATATAATGCTTCTTCAGATTTTTTGTATTATCAACGATAAGACAACTGGAAGCCGAAGTTTGTCAACTATCATGAGCAAATTAAAGCAAATATTCTTGGTATCTCGACAATCAAAGAGACCACTTTTCAGTCGCGTTATCACATATTTTGGCCATGAATTGCCCTTTGATCAGTTGATAACTCAAAAAAGATTGAAATTCATTTCTTTCTAAATTAATTGACAGAAAAAAGTGAAGCTGCTTCTGTTGAGAAAAAACCGAACATGAAGGATGCTCCCTTAGCAGGTAAGCGAGGACGTGAGGTGAAATTAGAGTCTTTGAAATATCGAGCCCGGTGGAGTTTAATTGGCCGGATTTATTTCCATACTCTTTTCTCTCTAGCTCTATTGTGGGAACAGTAAACAAAATCTATTGATAATTAAAACATAAATAGTAACAAGAAAACGATATTGTTGATGACGATGAAAACGGTGATGACGACCATTCAACCCCTTTTTTCTTTATTTTAGAGCCGGATAAAACTCAAATTTTCTCGACACCTGGAAAAATAGAGGATTTAGAGATTGGCACCTCCACAGGTACTGAATTGAACTTCAAACAGTGTAGAAGTATATTGCAATCATCGATCTGATTTATTAATTAAATTTTGGTTTAAAATGAATTAACAGAAAGCCGAACATTATAAAGCACTGAAACGCTTGAGTAAAATAAAAAGCAACAATACTGAGATAACAGGGGCGAAAAAAGGTGCAATTATTTTTCTTGGTGTATGCGGAGTAGGCGGTTACTTTCTAGAAATTCGTTATCCTTCATTGTTGAAAGGAACTTTCTAAGGAACAGCCCAAAGTGTATGATTCTTTATTTATTTTTAGATACCTTGGCAGGGAAAGATTCAGCAAATCAAGAGAAGGTGGATTTGGATGATGAGATTTCATCAGGTGAGAGAAATGAAAAAGCAAATGAATTTTACTTCTGAAGTTTGTGACTACAAAAAGACCTTTGAAAATACACGCAAATAAAAATAAACGCAAACAACTGAATCATTACGGCTCTAAGTTTCCTTTGCTTAAGGTGAAATATTCTTCTTTACCATTTCAAGGTCAATTTGAGTTCAAGGAGTCAGATGACGGTGACGCCAAATCAACAGGTACAAGTAAATAGTGCAAACTTATAATATGCGTGAGCCTAGGCGTCAATTAAACACTGGGAAACAAGTTACAAGGCAAGTGAGCTTTCAAAGATTGAAAATCGATTCACTAACTTTCTGTTGGTCAATATTTAAGACAGAGATAAGGAATAAATTATTTTACAACCTTAATCTGCATAATAACCGTGCGTTTTAATTTTTTCACTTTTCAAACTGATTTTGGTCTTAGATATTTTTACATCAAGGGAAAAATCTTTTAATATATTAGGAGATGAAGAAAAAAAAAGTCGTGAGTTTCTCTCGGGTAGGAGTGTTATTATTATATATGCGTTATTAACCAAGCGTGAGGTCAAGATGGCTGGATAGTGACCAGGTTCTTTTTTCGCATTTTTATGGACCTTGACGAAGTCGAGGTCCCTAATAAATGTGAAAAAGAAAAGCGATGCTATTATCCAGCCACCTTGACCGAACAAGCTTGGTTAATAAAGGATTTATTCTATTGCAAAAAAGTTTCTTCTAATTAAGAATTAAGAGCGACCTGTTTACTTTGAGAGTCGGGAAAGAAAGCCAACTGTGTTTGTAATATAACAAACTTACGAGAGTCGTTTCTGTTTTCTTTGGTTAGACTTTCTTCTGCAACTTTTTGCGCTTCCATCGCCGACATTGTACAAGAATTACGAACGTAGTTCTAATTCAAATTTTTCATGCGCGGGATCGATGCAGAAAATCCTGGGCGCGGGCAAGATGAGCCCATCTTGGACCGCTCGAGTAACCACTGGATTCGCTTCATCTTGCTCAAGGGTGCTGCGTGCAATGTACTAATTAATATTTATTGTATTTTAGTTAGTCACCAAGCCTCCCCTGCAGCAGGTGAGGGAAGCCTGGCATTTTCTGAAAACAGTTCAGCAGGTGAGAAAAAGAAACATAAAGCTTCTTTAGATTTTTTGTAAAATTATCAATGACAACTAGACCTGAAAGTTTGTCAACTATAATAAGAAAAGCAAATATTCTTGGTATCTCGACAATCTAAGTCACCACTTATCAATCACACTCTTACAAGTTTAGGCCATGAACTGCCTCTTTGACGAGTTGATAACTCAGAAAAGAGTGAAAATTATTTCTTTGTTATTTTTATTACAGACAAAAGTGAAGTTACTTCTGTTGAGAAAAAACTGAACATGAAGGATGCTCCCTTAGAAGGTAAGCGAGGAAGTGAGGTGCAATCAGAGTCTTTAAAATATTGAGCCCAGTGGCGTTTAATCGGCCGGATTTATTTCTACTCTCTTTTTTCACTAGCACTAGGAGAGCAATTAAAAGCAACATTACGAAAACCTTAGGCAAAAAAAAAAAATCCCCAATTATTCTTGATCTGGCATATTAGGTGCAAAGTTTTATGCAAATTCGGGTGGTTATCTTTTAGCAATTTATTATCCTTCATCAATTTCGGGTAATTTCCAAAGCACAACCCAATTCTATCTTTTAGGTACGTTGCAGGATAAAGTTACAGCAATCCAAGAAAAACTGGATTTGGATGATGGACCTTCCTCTGGTGAGAGAAAAAAAAAACGCAAAAAGATGATTGTATTCTAAATTTATAGCGACTCTGGGCCTTAGTAACTTGAAACGAAAGGAGCAAATAGCTTACCCCTTCCAAAATTTGAACAAAAGGACCTTAAAGAACAGAAAGGATTACTTGGAACAAATGTTACGAGACAAATTTGGACTTTCCACGGATTGAAAAACGGATTTAGGGAGCATCAGTGCGGGGTCAGTCTTTCTTAACAGCCCAAACATTGCATCCTTACCAAACAATTCAATACTTTCAGTTCTTTGTTATGATTGATTTTGTGTTGATTATCTCTAGATTATTCTACATCCAAGAAGGAATCGTATGATGATGGAAGCAAACCAAAAGGTAGAAGCTAGAGATAATTCTAAAACTACTTTTGCCTGTAAGCCTAAATCTACGCAAATTTGTTTAAGAAGCTTCACATTTAAAATCAACTTAGATAAGGTGCATCTCTTCATCGAAATTTCTGGAACAGCTAAAAGTGAAGGCACCGTAAGTGATAAAGGAGTGGATTTTACAGCTTCTTCGTCAGTTACAGGTAAGTAGGACTGACTTGGATCATTAATCATACAACATATTCATAGTAAGAAAGTATCTCTTAAGGACTTCGTAGAATTAAATGTTACATGACCCAAACGATTAGGGGAACGGTAAACAGAATCTATTGATAATGAAAACATGAATAAGCGCCAAAATATGATAATGTTGCTGACGATGAAAACGTTGATGACGATCATTCAAGCCCAATTTTTTTTTTTTAGAGTCGGAGAAAACTCAAGTTTCATCGGCATCTGGAAAAAAAGAAGACTTAGAGATCGGCAGCCCCACAGGTACATAGATAAGCTGTAAATAGTAAAGAGGTATACTGTAATCATTCATCTGGTTTATTATTCAAACTTTGGTTTAAAATATATTAACAGGCAGCTAATACAAGGATCTAACGCTTGAGAGCCATGCAGAGTAGGTGGGTTTCTGTCTTGAAATTAATTATCATCGTTGAAAGGAGATTCCCAATGCACAACTCAATATGTTTGATATTTTATTCATTTTTAGATACTTTGAAAGGGAAGGACTCAGTAAACCAAGAGAAGGTGGATTTAAATGAGGAGCTTTTATCAGGTGAGAGCAATAAAACAGCAAATAAATTGCTCTTCTCTAAGACCTTTGGAAATTAATCAAACACAAACAACTAAATCACGACGGCTTAAAGTTCTGTTTGCTTAAAGTAAAATATTCTTCTTTACCATTTCAAGGTCAATTTGGATTCAAGAAGGAGTCAGATGTCGATGATGACAAATCAACAGGTACAAGTAATTAGTGCAAACTCCGAATGTGTGCAAGTTTAGGCGTCAATTAAACAATGGGAAACACAGTGCAAAGCGAGTGAACTTTTCGAAGATTTAAAACGGATTGAATAACTTTCTGCAGGTCAATATTTAGGATAGGAATAAACCTAAGAAGAAATTAATTTGACAGCCTAAGTCTGCACAATAGCCATGAGAACAGCAAGGGTTACTTGCAAAAAACTTTTGGAGACAATTTGGACTTTCGACAGATTGGAAGCGGATGGAGTGAGTATTAGTGGGTCATTCTTAGCGGTAGAAAAAAAGTTTTCTTCACAGCCCAACATTGCATCATCACCGCACAATTTACTATTTTTAGTTCTTTTTTCTACTTGATTCTGTGTTTCTTTTACTGTTTCAAGATTATTCTACATTCAAGAAGGAATCATTTGACGATGGAAGCAAACCAAAAGGTATAAGTCAGAGATAATTCTAAGACTACTAATGCGTGTAAGCCTAAATCTGTGCGAGATTATCTAATAAGTTCCACTTGTAATTCGACTTAGATAAGGGGCATCTTTTTGTGGACATTTCAAACGCAGGAGTTGAATTTACAGCTTCTTCGTCAGTTGCAGGTAAGTAGGACCGACTTTATATATAATAAATAACATTATAATTGTGATAAAACATATTCATAGTAGAGAAGTATCTCTTAAGGATTTTGTACAATTAATTGTTAAATGACTCAAACGGTTATGGGAACAGTAAGCAGAATCTATTGATAATGAAAGCATAAATAATAACAAAATATGATAATGTTGATGACGATGAAAACGGTGAGGACGATCGTTCAAACCCTTTTTTTTTTAATCCAGAGTGGGAGAAAAATCAAGTTTCATCGGCAACTGGAAAAATTGAGGATTTAGAGATCGGCAGCTCCACAGGTACGTAGTTAAATTAAAAATAAGGTGGAAGTTTACTGAAATTCTAAATCTGGTATATTGAAAGAAAATTCAAATCTCCTGACTTAGTATTTCACATCCTCAGGAGACAGCTATGGCGAGTCTCCACTTAAACCTATGGTTAGGTTTGGGGCTGCAGAAATCACTTGAGTTCCATTGACTTTTTTCACTAAAAATTATTTTATCAGATGCAGTTTTTTTAGCAATAACCGGACCTTACATTGTTTCGTGGGTAATTCGGAATGGGAAAGTCGTCGGATGGAGAATGAAGCATGTGAACAATTTTGTTTACCAGGATGAATTAGAATTCTACATCACCGCTCTGAATAAGGCTACTCGTTCACAAGTCAATGCAAGGGCTGCTGATGAATGGGAAATAAGTTTACCTGAAGTGGGCCGAGATGGAAAAGGAGCGAACGATGACTCCTTGCGAAACTCGATGACAAATGCCCTGAGGAAGCTCCATGATATCATAGTTACTCCTATCGCTGATTTCGTGGAAGGGGATGAGATTGTATTTGTTCCTGAAGGTCCACTCTGCTTGGTGCCTTACGCAGCATTGGTGGATTCGAATTCAAGGTATCTGTGTGAGTCTTTCAGGATTCGAGTGCTTCCATCCTTATCCTTTTTAAAATTAATCACTGACTGCCCGAAAGAATTTCATGTTAAAACCGGTGCACTGCTCGTGGGTGATCCGTGTTACAAACAAGTTATTCATCAGGAGAAATTGCTGAGTCAACTTCCGGGTGCAAGGAAAGAGGTGAAGATGATTGGAGAAATCATCGGCATTGCTCCTCTTATTGGAGAGGAGGCGACAAAGTACGAGGTATGTTTTATTTATTGAGAATCGGGACGCTGCGATGAATTAGGGGCTTGAAATCATATCTTGTGAAGAGACGAAATCGTTTTTAAAAGTAAATTTGTAAAGCTTGCCCTACACCGCTCGTATTATGATAATGATACAAGGGACAAGAGGCAAATAACTACACAAAAGAGGATACCTTAAT